ATAATTTTCACTCATAACAAAAGATTAATATCTAAAGTTATGTTATGACTAATGACAATTTTTATTCTACATACAGATAATTGTTAATTTAAGCCCGCATTAATTCTGCTATATAAAAATAAATACATATCATTGGTAACTATGAGTTGAAAAGTATTTAAACAGTTTTAAGAAAAAAATTCATGATAGGGTTTGGTAGTTTTTTATAGTTGAAAGAAAATGTAATGATGAAATCCTAACCACCAAATTTTGACATTGTTCTTCGGCATCATTCTTCAATTTAGTTATTTGTTCTAACATCTCCTTTGTATCTTGCATTGTTTGCGTTAATTGTCGAGTCTCTCCAGATCGTTTATTCATTTCGCTTTTCACTTCACTAACAGATTTTTCTAATTGTTTATGCAGGTTAATAGCATCCTGTTTTCAAAATAATTATTAAAAATAATTAAACACAGATAGCTGAGAACACATTATTCAAAAGCTTAGTCAAATTGAACATTTATTGATAACGATCATAGATTGTGGATGCGCAATGTTGTGGAGTTTCACATTAAGACGAAACAACCACGTAGTGCTTTCAATTTTTTCAGAGGTGGTCTGACACTGATCAATTTACGATCACAATGAGATACATTTGCCTCTACAATGCAATAATCAAAAAAGGATAGTTTGAGTTTTTAATAAGCTAAGATAGAATGGATTTGGTGGGATTGCACTAACGTATTCGTAAAATTGTAGTAAATCATTCAAGCAGAGAAATACTTTTGGGTTTTAGTCTTTTTAATCATGGCCTTTATTTATAAAACACCAAACAATATGTACATTGAAAAGTTTTATGATTATGTTGTTTCACGAGTTCCCTACTTACTTATATGGGATTTGGCTAGATTTCAGTAATCAGTTAGTTTTATAAACGTTTCTCTGTTCTAATTGTTCTGCTACATTTTTATGAAAATTGATTGCATACGATTCACGAATTTTCTTACTGAAAACCAATTAGAGTCATTTCTTACAAAATACAAAATATACGAAAAATAAAGTAGATAGTGTACAACCCACATTTTTCCTAGAATTCAAATTGATATAAACAGTGAGTAATTAACAATTTTCATTTTCCCTTCACTTAGCCCTACGTGTCATAGAACGAAAGTAAGATTTTTGATGAAGAGAAGATTTGCATCAACCAAAGAAAACGGAATATTGGTACAACAATTTTACTGTACATATATAAGTCATTTAAAGTTTCACACGCTATATTGACAGCTAAAATGATAATATTACGACAAACTGATTATATGTTACAGCTCTCTTACATACATCATCTTTTAGAAACTAAATGCTGGAAGGCTTGGCTCAAGTTCAAAATATAAGCGTGAGCGAAAAAATACTACCATAGATCTAATGAAAATCTCTATTTATTTATCTTGATGAGGCATACCCGTGACTATCATGTAGTGAGCCAAACTCAATATGCAATATCTGCTTCATTTACCTGACCCATCAACAATTTTTTTATTTCAAACTATAAATTAGGTGAATAAGGGGACTTATTCACGTTTTTGGTACAATCACAGTTAAAAGTATTTGACTACTTTTCACTAGTAAGCTGTAGACTGCAAATAACTTTCCAATAGATTTGCGTAATTCTCCCAGAAAATAGTTGAACGTCTAATTTTTAATCTTCCTAGGATCACCGTTTGGTGGTCCTAAAAACTCAGTGTAATACGTTCATGCTTCAGTAAATAAAGATGATAATGAATTTTCAAGTTTTGCAGCCCACAAAATGACATACATGTATCATTTGAGCATTCTAAATGGTCAATAACACTAAAATTACCAAACAAATGATCTATATGCTCCAACCTGTGACATTTAAATTACCATAGTCCACACCAGAAATGTCAAACATATTATTGAAAGCTATGATTATAATTCTTCGATTACTGATAACATTCTTTTTCATTATGTCGAAGTTAGTAAATCGTATTAGTTTATTTCACTTTATTATAGTGACTTTTCTGATGTCCCTACTTTCATCTTATCGTAAATGTATCTTAATGTTAACAGTTGGTTGGACTGTTTTAATATTTTACTAACGATTGTAATTAATCATTAAATTGAGTATAGTTAAATCCTGATGAACTTGTGTTTTCTGGGTTATCATCCACTTTTTAGTACATATCCTATGATCAAAATTTACCACATCTCAAATGAAATCATTCAATTACCTCTTCTTTAGGCATACGATTATATTCATTTTGTAGCATACGTTTTTCGTCTTTCAAGCTTTCTATGGTATAATTTAATTCATCATTTCTTTCTTCAATTTGTAACAGACGATTATTTGCATTCAAGATTTGTTCACGTAGTTTATCTGCTTTTGTATTATAACCTTCAGGATAATTGTCAGCTTTTGATAATGATTCGTTTAAACTATCCAGTTGAGTGGACATTTTTTTAGATAACTGTAGTAAATTGAATTCGTTATCTCTTATTCTGTTTGTTTCATTATTTGAGAAGAAAATATACAAAAAATGATACAAGCTAACATAGACATAAATGTTAGTTAAAAAGAAACTCTGAATCTTATAAAGAATAAAGAAACTCAGGAGTTGGTTCTTTTACTGAATCAGCTATGGGTACTTATCAGCAGACTTAAATCAGAACAAAGTAATTAGTCAGTTCTGAAGAATGTTTCCTCTCCAAGTATCAACGCAAATCAGTAAACCTAGATGTAATCTGGGAGAGTGTGAAATAAAATATTTTATGAACAGATAAAACGGCAAAACAATAAATTAGTTGGCCGAAAAATTATACAGAGATAAGTTTGAGTACGTGTTTATTTGGAAAGTAACCTCATATTTGGAAGGCTAAACTTATACAGTGGTTAACGTAAATACAAAACATTCAGTTATCATTTAAAGATTAAGATTATTGTTTGCGCCAACCCAACAAACGCATGGTTATCAACAAGTTCATTTTCCTTGAACAGAAAAAGAAAACTACATATTCGTAACTCGATAATATCAAAACGCTTTTTGGAATTCCTATAAAAACTAGTAGAGTCTTTAATTGAAAATGCATGGCAGACACTCAAAAATTAGTTTATAAAAGTAACAGCAACGCTCATTTTTTAGACTTCACCAAAGAATTCAATAAATTTCCCATCATGGTTCAGTGAGGAGGTTCTTATCCTTTTCCACGAAAGCAAATGGATTTGGTATAGATTTGGGTTACTGAGCACCGATAAAAAACATTCTCAAAATCAAAGAGCCAAAACTATATATGCCTTGTCCCACTTAATGTCCAGAAGGTTGTATGGAGCAAAGCCGGCGAAGGAGTTTATAGAATAACCTGATGGCTTATATTTGTTCATAAATCAGAGGACTAAGAGAAGAGACAGCGCCTTGGCATTATGGAGGGGGACAGTAGTAATACATCACTGGTAGAAGACCATTATGGTAAAGCTTAGCTATTCTCAAATTACTTTTATTAATATATATACCTTAGCGTTGCCCCTATTCGGCTCACGAAGAGTAAACACTCTGAACATTGTTACCATTGAAGAAGTAGATTCCTTTGGTCTGTTAAACAAGCTTGAACAAGGTAAATTTATGGGACTCCGTGAACACATCTTAGATTGCAAAAGAAGCTAGAATATTATATACGAATTCTTTAAATATGTATTTTAGTTTATCAGTGACCCAAGGTAGATTATTAAAAGGCTGAAACAACATCATAGTAAGTTCTGTTTTCAAAACAAGCATGAGAAAAAACCTGAGGACTATTGACCTGGAAACTTAACCAGCGTGGTTGTAATTATTTCATATAATGTTATTTGGAAGGAGTTCTTTTAGTCTGTTGACAAAAACCTGATATTTTTTCCTGAAAAACAGAATGGCTTTAAAAACGGATTATTCATGTCTCAGTAACGTGTTGAAGGGACATGAAAGTTGATGTGCTCTTAAAAATCAAAACTTACTTATAAGTATGCATAGATGATTTCCTAGTTGCGCTGCTATTTCATATATTCAAAACAAAACCAGATTGTCCTGCAATAACAGGTACAGAAGCAACGACTGAATAAAAATGAGTGGAGTATTTAAATCTTGAATACCTTACGCTAACTATAATAAATCAATCAGTGGTGTATTGTAGGGAGCAGCTCGGTTCACTAAGATTTACATAATGAGTTGATAAATGCATGTCATTTAAAATTATATTTTCGTTAATCAAACTTGATTAGCTTGTAGTAGGTGTCTAGTCGCGATTGACTATGATAACCACTACAGGAAGACTACGTGCCAGTTACCAGGTTATACCCCTCCGTGGGCCTAAGATCGGAAGGCGGTTGATGGTTTTAGTAAGATGTATTTGTTGGCAATCTCAGCACCTACTACAAACCTTCGTTGAAGGCCTTATTACTCCGAGCAAACAATATTTAGTGGGTTTTGATTTTAAACACGAAGTTGATAAAAAGTAGCAACCTGGTCATACATCAATTGTCTATGGCGAAGGCCAACAACCGTGCACTTAACGCAGCCTTTAAACTTTAATTAATGCACATACTTAGAAAGAAGGCCACTAAGTTTGAAGAAACGATGCTTCATTTGAGCGATTTGAACACTGCTCAACTTTCCTTCATATCCTAGCTTTTCCACCGCATCGATTGCTGAAAAAAAGTCTCCCGGTGACGAATCATCTTTAATATCCTTGTTGTGATCAGTTTTATTGCTCCCTATCCCGTCTGAAGCAATGGGAGGTTCGTGAATACAATTTGGCCTGGCGATAAGGAATTCACCATTTGATTCGTCTGTAAACAATGTATATTTGAAATTATCAGACCATCATTTGGTTTCGTGGGTGGTTCTTCTATAGAGTTATTAGAATTGTCTTCATGAGACATTTCGAAAACACTTCACTTTCATGCATTCAAATCGTCGCAAAACAACTTGGGTCGTTGTCATGACAATAATAAATAAAACCTTGCCGTTACTAACATGTTATTTTTTGAAAAAAACATCAAGTTTGAATCACGACAAATATTTGTTAATTTAGTTGAAAATTTTGTTTTAATAATTATGAATCACCTCAAACTGGTTGTGGTCGGTCCAAACAAGGTTATCATTTATAAAGAATTATCTGATTTTCGATATTTCAGTGTGGCAAATCATATATTTGCAATTATCTTTCCGAAACTGTAGAACAGGTTACTGGTGGATATCATCCAACTAGTGGTGTCAGGTATGTCCATTCCCCATCTGTTAAATAGTTGGCTAACTACTCATAATAACCAATCTTTACAATATAGAATATTGGAATATGAACAAAAAGTCAAGATAAAAGGAAAAATCAGTAAAGTTGAAGTCGAGCTATGGGATGCCAGTGGCGATAAAAAGTAGATCTCTATTTATATTTGTGATGGTCCTCGTAGGTATGAAACTTGCTGGCCAGCTATTTTCAAAGGGTCTAATGGAATTGTTTTTGTATATAACCCTGATAATCCTAATCACGTAAATGATCTACAAAATTGGTGGGTTTTCCTTACTGCCACTTTTTGTAGGTATCGAGCAGTGCCGCCTAGTTTGGGCCTGAGTGAACAGCAGATGTGCATCATTTGTCACAAAAAACCAGACACATCATTTCGGGACCCGGTTTCTCTACGTAAGCCGAATACATGCAAAATTACCTGTTACTTATAGCAGATGACCTGCATAAAATACTCCACTTGTTTTCTAATATACCAAAGGATGGGGAAAGACTCAAAGAAAAGTTTGGAAAATTTGTATCACATGTAGCATGGGGCAGGGTGGAGGCAAGTGAACAAGAAGAGCTTCAAATAATGAATAGTTAGAAATATATTATTGGATTTTATAATTCAGCCTCATGATCATTTTTATTTTGATAGTAATACGAAAATAATGCGTACAACATATTTTTCGGTCGTTGTAGTTTGCATTTTCTTCCCAATAAATCTGAGTACATACGGAAGCATCAGCTTTTTTTAAGTCACTGGCACTGGGTTGAAATCCTTCGTATTCCATACATATCGATCATACATGAGACAACTAAGTGACTGGCTGTCTTTGAGTAAGCAAACATATATTCATAAGAACGTTTTGTTTCGAAACGCTACGTAAAAAGTAAACTAGCGAACATTCATATTTCAGTCGATAATACAAGACAATGATCTAGTGTCTGGAGATGTACGTCAGTTTGTGTATATCTTTATAACTGCCGTTTCTTCTATGTTTCAGTCTGCACAATTCTGTTATTCCGAATATTATCTTTACATAAAATGGGATGTGTTAATCGAAATGATCCACAGGTATTTTGGTACATTGATATAGGTAGACACATTCAATCTTTTTTATAATGCTTTCGCCCCCCCCCCATACGAGTGAAAACGCTGGTTCGGGCTTAATGATGAACCAAAAAATTAGGATGTGGATTTAGGTTCGATTCAAATGAGGACTTGAAAACACTAGATCTTTATTAATTGGAGAATATAAGATAACCAGCTAGTGTTGTAAATGCTTATGGGCATCCACAAAAGTCCCAACATAAACTCAGAATCTGTTAGATCACTGAAGCTGGTTGAATTGTTGAGAATTTTTTACATCGGACATGAATGCTCACCACCATTTGGAATCAATTCCTCCTAAAGTCCTATAAAAAGAGCCTTGACATTTTCTAAAAATCCTAGAATAGACTTTCATGTTGATTTACTGGAAATGTTTTCAGTTCTTTACATGTGATTTTATCCTAGTGTGTTCACAGTTTTTAAAATCCATTGATCACTTGCTCTAGTCTCAGTCATGTTTATGTTTTTTGATTGCTATCTGGCGATACGTAGGATTGCGGCAATCATGTCTAAATATTCTTACAGGACTTTAGATTTGTCGTTATTTGTTGAAGGTATGTTTGTCTTATTTCATTATAAGTACCTTGCTTTTTTAAATATTATTATTAAAAAATATGTAAAATTTAGTGTTTACTACATAGGCGGTTTAGCTCTTCTTTTAAAAGTTACTGTACTCACGTTTTACACTGAATATGGCCTACTTTAGTATTGAGCATATAATAAAAGTTCATAACCTAAAGACAAACTGTAAGTGTTATAATATAAAGCTACTAAGTAATTTTCACTCTTGTTTTGCACTACGAATTCTCGCTACACTTGTGGTACTCATATTGACATCCTTGACTAAGCATTAATAGAGACTTTCACATCAGTGTTTATCATTAAACAGCCGAAACATTCCAAGGACTAGTCCAACTGCTGGTTACAATGCTAGGGCTTAAAATCCTAATTTTATGACCCTACTTTTTTCAAAGACTATTATTTTGGCGTAGGCTAGTGATTTGTACTTTACAATGTACTTGTTCTACATTGAAACTCCATAAGACCTATATAATATTAAACAGTAATAGAAAGACAAGTGGGATAAAAAATGTTTCGCGCGCACAAGAATGTATCCACAAAACTGAATTAACCTATTGTTAATGAAACCATAGAACTATAATTTACAGTTGGCCACACGATAATTTGTTGTGCTTACAGATATTATAAAACAGAAAATTAAATCTAAAGAATAAAATCAGTTCCTCCCACTTTGAAGACTCTTTTAAGTTAGAGAAAATTACACTAAACATAAAACTGTTGGACTGAGAATACATAGCCGTTGTCTTGTGAGAAAAACCCATGGTGAAGTTTGAAACAATACAGCCAAGATTACAATCATTCACTTCGAAAAACAACCTTTATACTGTTATCAAAGCAGATCCGGAAACTAATTGTTATGACGTTAAGTTGTGGTTGATTTTTACCCTGTGCTAATTGTTGTGTCCTTGACTGAAAAACTAGAGAACAGCGTATTTATCGATCGATTCAATGACACGTAAACACGTACGAACGTAATGGACGACCTAGAGTTACAATTGGTCCCGATTCCCTGTCTATCCCAGCCAGTTGGGTCCAGAACGCAAGACACAGCCTCTGAGTTATGAATCATTGTATTTCAGACATACTCTATTTATATACTAACCAAACATACCACATCGTACCATAAAAATAGAAAACAACATTTTGTACCATATTCCACAAGTGAACAGATATCGACCAGTAGGAAATGTCCATTTAAAGTCCAAGGACACCATTGAACTTAACATGATAATTATTGGTCTATCCTTCGCATCCACAACACTAATAATGCTTGCAAAACCAACTATAAATACAAGTTGATTATGTATTTTTGAGTATCCGTTGTAGATTGTTTCGAACACGTCTTAAAGCCGCAAGATAATGCTATAAAAATGATAACTGATAGTTCCATTATAGTTCGAAAATAAGTTACCTTCACACGTTTTAAATATTTTTGAAGCAAACATTAATTGTACAATCAGATATGAAAAACGACAGTAGCAAAATATAAAATTATTATTACTATTGCAGGATGTATATTGGTCATCACTTACAGATCTTGTAATCAGTGAGTTATGAACGGACATTTTGTTGCGTAGATTGGAGTGTAAGTCAAAATGCAACTATATTACAGGACACCATATAACCTCTAATTTCCCGAATGATTACCTTTTAATTATAGACCTTGGGTTTTGAAAGACTTTTTTGTTAATTTAGAAGAATGTGGCCATCTATAGGAAGTCTGTTTACATCTATAAGTCTTTTGATGCAGTTTTATTTTGATAAAAAACAAGAAATATATTTTGATATATCTTTATAAATATATAGTATATATCTATTCACAAAGCTTATTTCGATAGTAAAAAACCACTTTCACTCCTTAAAAGTCAAAATGAGATGATATTAAATTATAATTATATTAAGATCGTAATCCGATTGTCCTAACTGTTGAACTTCCGAAATTCGCTCACTTGTTGAGCAAATGATGTCCTATGTAGTAAGACATATATATATATATATATATATATATATATATATATATATATATATATATATATATATATATATATATATATATATATATATATATATATATATTATAACCAATCCGTATCATAGTCCAGTCATCAACGCTGATAATTTTCGGTAGTAGTTTAGTTACTTATAAGTAGGCATACTTTTCACAGAACATTTGAGCCAAAACTTCATTTTATAATTAATATATCTCAGTAAAGTAAACATGCGTCCAGTTCATCCCTAAAACGTATATTTCACTTGTAGACCTTAGACCCAAATCATATCGCAACTCGCTAGAGTTTCATAAAAACAAATTAACCTCGTATGATATGTATACGGATTTGACTTTGTACATGGTTGATATTAGGGACTATATTTGATTAGTATATTTTGGTATTTCAACATCGCGGATGGATTATCTTGATATTACCACTAAGCACAATATTGAGTAAATGATATCCTTAAATATCAACAACGAAAAAAATACAAAACATTAGATATACCTACATATTCATATCCTTCGAACAAGTTACTATATGGGCTCAGTAGCTTGACAGATAGCAAGATATTGTTGAAAGCAAAAAACGAAGTAATATAATGGGGCTAATAGTTTGGAAGTAAAACTTTTTAAAATATCATAAGGATAGTTTTAGATATTTTTTCATAATACTATTGGAAGATGCTTGAACTATTTTATTTGTTTTTATATTAACCTATTTCTAAGTTTCTGTTTGATCTATCTTATTAAGATGTCTTATAATTCCAGAATTATCATCAATCATTATTCTCCAATTACTCTGATCTTGTCTCTTATGACCAAGTTATAAACAAATTTTAATTTTTTTAATCATTTTGCTGTAAGGTCAGACATTTCAGTTATATTATTGTAAGTTGCAAATCATAAATGAACTGACTACAATAAGGAACTGATCTGTTTTCTATTTTCCTTTTGTGTGTGAACATTAGGTTATAACGAGATCGAGAATCCATATGCGTTAAGCTCTTAGTTGTTTTTCATTGGTCGGTTTGCTAAATAGTATTTAGATTAGCAGTCCCAAAAAATAAATAGCTAAGTCAATAGATATTGCGACAAGAGAGAGAATGGTAATATTATTGCTTTCCTCTCATCATGACCCGATCACATGAGTACAACACAACTCGAGCAATCTAATTTTCTTTCGACATAACACACAGCCTTGAGTTCCTATGTGATCATCGACATAGCGACACAGATGCTTACGGTTGATGAGTCCGAATTAGGATAAAATGAGTGTCCTAGATTCCACTGGTAGCCACAATTCAATTTAATTCTATGGTTGATTTTCTGAACTTGGTAGGTGGTTAGGTTGATAATCCTGGAATTTATAGTCATAAAATAACATTATATATATGCATATACTACTGAAGTTTAGTAAAATCGGGTTTTAATATCAAGGCGAAATATATTTTATTGTTTGTTAAACTTTTCCACAATAAAAAACATGAAAGTACAGTCTAGAATTTCTTTCAACTGTTTTAGTAAACAAGTTTGGTATCGAAAGATTATAGTTCAAGATTTTTTAATAAAAACTTATTCCAATTTTTATACGAAATTTTTATTGGAATATAAAATGTAAGCTTAAATAGAACTGCTAATTTCTAGAGTTATTTTAACATTTAGACTTTTTCATAAAATTTTAGGTAGCTAATTTTCACATTGTTTCAAACTGTAACTAATTGTACATCTTGGATGAAACTTATGATTTTTTTCGACCTTTAAAATCTCCATTTTATTGATATTTATCAAAATTGATGGACCACATTTCGAAATTAAAAGCTATGGCTATTGTTACTAGATATAGAAAGTTATTTATTCACCATCAATCTTAAATTCAACGGTTAGATTTCGGACAGAATCATGGTTGTTCATTTGTGAAGAGTCCCATACTGCTATAATGCAAATATCTAGTGCTGCCAATTTCCTACTAATTTCTCAGTTAATACCGATCCGTAATTAAAAGTAACTTCAACTAAGAACTAATCTCGAAACTCCTTATTTTATTAATTTACT